CCCCCCCCCCCCCCCCCCCCCGCACACTCGTCCCACCACCATGTCCCGAGCCCCCTCCACGCCTCGCGCCGGCTCAGACACGGCCTCTCTTCCCTCCCCAGAGGAAGCCTGGAACCACTTCAAGGCCACCTGTGCCAGCACATCCCGGTGAACGGCCGAACGTGGGCGGCCGAGCCGCGTGCCCACCTCTGCTTGGGGTCTTTCTTGAGCAGGCCGGCCAGCAGGGCCTTGGCCTCAGGGCTGAGGGTGCGCGGGAAGCGGATCTCCTCCATGAGGATGAGCTCGAAGAGGCGCTCGTGGTCCTGGTTGTAGAAGGGCAGGCGGCCGCACATCATCTCGTACATGACCACGCCCAGGCCCCACCAGTCCACGGCCCGCCCGTAATCGTTGTCCTCCAGCACCTGCCCGGGAACGGGGGGAGAGCAGGAGGTGAGCGGCCAGCCCCTGCGGGGGGTGAGCACATTCCGGGCCTTGCCCAGCCGCTCCCGCTGGCGACCCGGCACCACCGGGCAATGCTGCGGCCCCGGCGAGGAGGCTGGGCTGTCCCGGGAGCAGACCAGGGCTCGCCTGCCCCCTGCTCTCCACCCCAGCGCTGCACCTCACCGGCTCCCTTCAGCGTTTCACATGGGCATCAGGCGTCCCAGGAGAGCCAGCCCTCAATTCCGTCTGTCTGTCTGTCTGTCTGTCTGTCTGTCTCCCTCCCTCCCTCCCTCCCGAAATGTTGGGCCAAAAGCCTGCTTGGGAAAGGCCATTTATGATACCTCGGGGGCCAAGTACTCGGGGGTCCCGCAGAAGGTCTTCATTGTGGCACCATCGGTGATGCCTTCTTTACACAATCCAAAGTCTGTGATTTTTATGTGTCCGTCTTTATCCAGCATTAGATTCTCCAGCTGGAAGGCACAAAGGCAGGTCAGGGCTCTGGCATGGATGCCGGAGGAGGACACAGACCCTGTTCCGGCAGACCACTCCGGGGCCGAGCTGTGACACCAGCGCCCTCTGAAGAGCAGGAAGGGCAGGCAGGCTGGCCCCACGCAGTGGCAGAGACCACGCCGGCCGGCCCACAGGCCCCAAGAGCGGCTCTTCAACAGGCCGGGGGCCAGCAAGAAGCACCCCTGCCCTCACCCGACTCGGGTACTCCGGTCAGCACCAGAGGTACCTTAATGTCACGGTAAACGACGTCCCGGGAGTGGAGGTACTCCAGGGCGGAAACGATCTCGGCCCCGTAGAAACGGGCACGGTCCTCCGTGAAGACACGATCTCTTGAAAGATGGAAGAACAGCTGGAGGGAGAGAAAAGACGTGAGCAGCAGGAACAGTGCAGGGATGCGGGGGGGCGGTCAGGGGGGATCCAGGCCCCCGCACTTGGCGAGGAAGGAGCAACGCTGCGGCCCGCTGCCTGGGGACAGAACCCTTCTCTGCCACGGGACCCTCGGTGCGGCCACATGGCGCTCGGCAGGAAAGGGCGCGAGCCGGAGCCGACCCTTACCTCCCCTCCGTTGGCGTATTCCATGACGAAACAGAGGCGGTCATTCGTCTGGAATGCGTATTTCAGTGCCTGGAAAGGCAGGTTGAGAGGAAGAGCAGCTGCACCCCTGCCCTTCAGCAGCACCCCATTCATTTCACTAGAGCGGCTCAGCCACACTGGGGCAGAGGGAGGGGACGGGGCAGAGGCCTACAGCCCCCGGGGCGGTTCTGCCAGCATGGCGAGGGCAGCACAACCCTGCACCAGGCACAGCCGCGCTGCCCGTGCTCAGGGGAAGCGGGCGAGCCACCTGTCCGCGCGATGCAGGCCTTCGCCGCCACCCACCCCGAGCCCCGCTCTGGCATCCACAGAGAGACCTTCCTGGCAGGGCACGTGCCTCCCACTCCCCACTGGACGTACCGTGAGGAAAGGATGCCGCGTGTTCTGCAGGACGCGGCTCTCCGTGACGGTGTGCGCCACTTCGTCCTGAGGAGGCGGAAAAGCACTGCGAGTGGAAGGGCCCCGTTCGGACGCAGCCAGCCACGCAGCGTGGCCTGCCCCCGCCACGCCCCCCGCCCGCCCTGCGATCCCCATCGCTGCACCGTTCCGAGGAAGCAGCTGCCGTCCAGGCGCACGCAGGGGGGCAAGCGCCCCGGCCGGCAGCGTGCCTCTGCAGAGGGGTCGCACGGGGGAGAAGCACACGCCTCCTCCTGGAAGCGCCGCCGTTGCGCAGCCCGCACCTTGGCGATGATGACTTCCTTGCGCAGGATCTTCATGGCGTAGTAGCGCCCCGTGGCCTTCTCCCGCACCAGGATGACCTTCCCGAACGTGCCTTTGCCCAGGAGCTTCAGGTAGTCGAAGTCGTTCATGGTCTGTGAGTTGAAGTGACAGCAACGGTCCCTGGCTCGGCTGCCGGGGCCAGCCAGACCCCCAAAGCCAGCCCCAAGTGGACGCGGCGTGCCAAGGGCCCCCCCGGGGCTCGCACTGCTCCCAGGAGGCCGGTGTCCCCCGGGCACAGCAGCGGGCCTCCCACCAGCCCCACGGAGGCTCTCGGTCCTCACCGCCTTGGCCCGCGTCTTGGACACGGCCACCTCCATCTCCTCCGCCCCGGTGCGGTCGCTGGGGGAGCCGCTCTTGTACTCCATCCTGTCCTCTTCGGGTTCCTGGTTCTTCAGACTGTTGGCCACCATCTGGATGGCTCGGATCCACTCCTCCCTGGGGACGGCAGAGGCCCGTCACAGACAAGCCCACACCCAGCAATGCCCAGAGGACACCTGCAGGCGCCACAGGCCCTTCTGCAGGCGAGGCGAGGCGAGGCATCAGCCCCCTCAGAGAAATACGGGCGCCTCCGCATTTGGGAGCCAAGTCCTTCTGCCTCCCAGGTGCTGGGGAAGAACAAGGGACAGGGAGGCTTGTGTGGAAGTGGGCTGCACGGCGGGGAGACGGCTGATCCCGCCACTGCCTGGGCAGCGACTGGCTGGAAGGGCGCCCGGCACACCCACCTCTCGTCCGGGGAGTCCACGTGGAACGTCCGCTCGATGACCGTCGTCCACTGCAAGCAGCGGATGATGAAAGTGTTGGGCCGGGGCCGCTCCACTTTCATCAGCTGGCACTCTAGGTGGAGAAGGCGAGACTGGCTGTGCTGGGGGCGGCCTGGGAGAAAGCCCCCAGTGGTTCTCCACCATCTTATGGGCATGCACGGCCCCTATCACCCCCTGCCCCGCCTCTCGCCTAGCCCAGGGTCTCACCTCAAGACCTCTGCATGGGGGCACCACCTTGGAGCCCTCCCCGCCCACTGCCTGCCAAGTGGGGCCGCCTGCTGCCCACAGGGAGGGGGCGGGGAGCCATCGCTTGCTCTGGACGGCTAACGGCTCCCCTGCCTGGCCCTGGGAGGGGGCAGGCAAGATCTGGCAGCGGGACGGAGACCTTGGCTACCGGGTACTGCAAGAATCGATCAAATAAACCAGCGCGGCACAGAACCCACGCCAGCCTGCAGGGAACGCCAGTTCTGCCACTGGGCCGGGGCGGGAGGTGGTTCCTCCCCCTCGGAGCTCTTATTCGGGGCCGCCTGGCGATCCGGGACCGTCACCCAACAGTCTCAAGGTGACGTGCAGAGCATACCTGCCACAGAAAAGTCATTCAAGGGGGGCAGGTTGTGGTCTGATGTCTCAGGCTTCTCCTTGTACCCAATGAAAGACCCATCGCTCTTCAGGAGGAAGTACCTGGGCCTCCATGTTTTGATGTATTCACCTGGAAAACAGAAGGGCCAGCAGTGGGGGACCGGAGCAATGTGCAGGCTGCCTCTGTAGCAGCTGCCTGGGACCCACAAGAGCGCAGAGGAGCCTGCCTGCGAGTCCCAAAGCCCGAGACTCTGCCCCCGAGGCCACATCCAGGCAAGCCACCGCTCGGTTTGTTCCCAGGAATCCCAGTGGCTCCTGCTGCTTCTGGAAAGACACAGGCAACTCCAGAGGTGTGGGGCCAGGGGCCAGGTGGGCCAGCGCCTCCCCACTTGGCACCAGCGTCGCCCACTTCTTCTATTTTTGCCAACCGCAACCCCACAGATGGCACAGCTTCCGGCTAGCCAGGCGCTCTCTCGGCACGCTAACACACTCAGGACTCCACAGCGAAGTCCCCGTTTTCCTCAGCCACGCAGGACACGCACAGCGGGGCTGAGCCCGGCTCCAAGCACCAAAATAGCCTCCGGGCTGGCCAGATGCCACTCGCAGCTGCCGTCTATATTTGTCCGCAGGGGAGAGGAATTTGCTGGAGCCATGGCCGGGGGGTGGGCAGGAGGGGACAGCTGAGACTGCCACGGCCGGGCAGCGTGCGAGGTGGAGAGTGAGCGAGCGAGCGAGATGACCTCCATGGGGACAAAGCGGCATCTCGGAACTGGCGGCGTGTGCCCAGCTGCGCGACTCTTCCCATCGACTCACCTGCCACCCCCAGGGACAGCGCGGCTGGCCGGGAGGAGCTGATGGGAAAAGCCGCGCGGCCTCCCCGCACCTGTCCCGCCGAGGCCAGAAAAGGGAGCCGGTGCCCCTTGGCCCCCTGGGGCGAGCCCCGCAGGCCCCGAGCAGGCTCCCCCTGTTCCTGTCGGGGGGGCCTATTTATTCCACGGTGCTCCTCGTGCCCGTTACAGACAAGCCCAGCACACGCTGCCCATTTTCTCGCTGCCCTCAGCCCAGCGGGACTCGCGGGTGTCCCCGAGCAGGCGGCTGCCCCGTGGGCGTCCCAGGAGGCAAAGGTCACACCAGCTCCCAAGCCAGCGCCCCGCGGAGGGCCCAAGGCCTCAGCACAGAGCAAGGGGTCCCGCGGAGGCCTCCGGCTGCTGCACAGCTGTGCCCACCACCCTGGGGGCAGTGCAGAGGCCCCATTTAGAGGAGCAGGCAAGGGCCGGCCCGCCCGCCCGCCCGCCCCACCTGCCTTCAGGAGGAGCCCCACCACTCACCTCTCTTGTGCAGCCACCCCTCCTTGATGACGGACACCTCGTTCATGTTGACGCGGCAGCCTGACACTGACGGGGACTACACTCTGCCAGCTGAACTGGTGACCTGCAGGAGGGGAAACCGAGGCTGTCGGGAGAGGCGGGGCAGCAGGAGGCTGAGGCTGCCCCGCAGGGGCCCTGCGCCACCAAGCGGGCCCCCCTCCCTCTGTCCACACTCCTGGAGTCTTCAGCCCTGCAGGGCGGGAGCAGCACCTGGCAGGCGGACGGGGCGCCTCTGCGACGAGGGACTGGTGGCCTCCTCAGAGGCCACCCCAATTCTGGGTGCTCTCGTGGCCTGGCCAGCATGTCAAAGGGGCCACTGCCCTCGACGTGGGGTGCAAAACGGGAGGCCAGGCTGCCTCAGCGCCCCCACCCTCAGCAGAGCAAGGACAGCAATGCCAGCACAGCCCAGCAGAACCATTCTCCTCCACCCTGGTTCCGGGGTCCTGGGGCAAGCCGGACAGGTGCCCCCCACCCCCCAAAGCTTTCGATTTCCCCTTCAGCCTTCTCTGCCCCCTCCCCTTGATTTGCTGTCAGGAGGGATACGGAGCACAGCAGATGCGGGGCCTCCAAGGAGCTGCAGTCGGATCAAAGACGCCTCGCAAGGAAAACAAACAGCTTTACCAGAGTAATCCCAGGCACCTGATGGGATTAATGGTGGGGGTGGGGGTTGGGGGGGACGACTAGCCCAAAGACACTGCCAGCCGGAGAGGCATGAGGGGGCTGCCCACCAGCTGCCCTGGCCAGTGGGGGGGGGGCATGCGGGATTATGCCAGGGATCACGTGATGTCTTCGCCCGCTCTGCGCTCTGCTGAAAGTCGTGCGGCGGGAATGTAACTGCCCCACGAGGCATTCCATGCCGCGTACCAAACCTGGCATTCAGGCAAGTGGTGCTACCCCACGGGGTCCTCTGCCCCCCAACGAATCCTGTAGAAAAGGTCAGAACTGGAATGCAGGGGCAGCAAGGACCCCCTCCCTACCCATGGCTGCTGGCGGCCCACTGCTGGGCAGCCAGACCCCAGGACCAGCCCTGCAAGGAAGGCCTTCCGTCCTGGACCGCCCCACACGCAGAGGCAGCGCCTGCCGCTCCCCCACGGAGAGCACCAGAGGCGGAGCAAAGCCCACTCGGCACAGCACAAGCACAGCCTTCCTGCAGGGCCCAGGAGCCTCCCCCCGCCCCCCCCGGTGTGGCTCCAGAGCCCTTTGAGGGCCGCTTTCAGGCCACAGGCCAAGCGTGCTTGGCGGCACATGCCGAGGGCAAAGGGCTGGGGCCAAAATGCAAAAAAGGAGGGGAGGTGTGTGCCTCAGTGCTCCTCCTGCCAGTCATGCAGCCTTCAGAGGCACCACCGCCTCTCAGAATGGAGAAGAAACGCAAAGAACCACGCAAATTACGAAGACGCACAAAAGCCACGAAACCTCTCACAAACGGGAGGGTGGGGCAACGGGGGTGAGCCATCGAGGGGTCCCCGGAAGGCCAGGCTGGAACCCCAGGAGCCTCCCCCACAGGCCAAAGGCCCCCAGCACTGTTTTCGGCAGCCAGCTCAGAGGAAGGAGTTCTGTTATGGGGGACCTCCCAGCGCACGGCCGATCCAGAGCCCGGCGTTCTGGGGAGCAGACGTCTGAGGGGAAGGGGCCACAGATGATGCGGGCGGTGGTGGGCCAGTGGGACCAGAGGGACGGGCCACAGCAAGCGGGAACTGCAGCACGGGGACCCAAAGCCCCGTAACCCGGCATGCAAGGAAGCAGCTTTCCACTCTGCTGACGGCTGGGAGGAAAACTCTGTGACATGAACCGTGTGAGAAAGCGGCAGTGGCACTGGGTACTCCAGGTCTGCACATGTGCTTGGGTGGCCCTCCCCTAAGAGCGGTCCCCAGGACTCCTGGGATAGCCTGCAAGAGCACTGAACGAACGAACGAACGCGCACGCACACACACACACATGCACACCCATAGTCCCTCTCTGGAAAGGAATGTGGGGGGCATCAACCCAGCCTCTCGCGAGGGCCCGAAACCTGTCTCCCCCCACACCTGCATACCTGCCCCCTCTGCACAGCCTCCCATCCAGGAGACCAGCAGGGCTCACCAGGCAGCCCTGGCTGAACACACAAGAACAGCCCGCTCGCCCCACGGTGGTGGGGGGGGGACAGCAGGCAGGCAGGAGGGCGGGAACTTGCTGACTTGCAGGGCACGTGTGGCTCAGATGCGGCGAGCACCCAAGTGTTTGCACGCGCCAGGATGTGACCTGCGAAATGGGAGGGAGGGGGCCTCATTCTGGGAGGAAGACAGCAGGAGCCAGCCTGCACCGAGCGGCGGCCAGCAAGGGCCAGGGGTCCAGCCTGCCTGAGGGGAACGCATGGGAGACAGCTCTGCCTCCCATGGCCAACCCTGGCAACCACACTCCACACCAAACGGGCTGACCCACGGCTCTCCCCCACAGGCTCCGGCCTTCCCCCCACTCAGACAATACCCCAAGCTTCCCCTTCAGGAGAGAATGGCAAAAGCTAAACCCAATCTGCCGGAGAACTATGCACCGCATGCCAAAAGGCCCGATGCCTCCAGCCAGAACTCACGCCAGAGGAACCCCGGATGGGAGGCCCAGAAGAGGCGTGGCAGCAGTCCCCTCACAGCCTTTGCGGTGACTCACCTTAGTCCCAGACAACGGCCCACGATGAAAACCTTTTACACATTTTTAAAAACACATTTTGAAAACCAGTCACTTTGAAAACTTGAAAAGAGCACTGCCAATAGTGTTCCACACTGGCTGAAGGCCCCGGAAGGATACTGCCAAGAGGTCTATGAAAGCAAAAGGCATATACGGCCTCTGCCACACTTCCACCTAGTTCATCCACCAAGGCAGCCCCAGCTTCAGTCCCTGAAGAACCCAGGCCGAAATGGATCCGAACACGTCCGCCCTCCTGATGAGAAAGAGCAGAGGCTGCCTGCTCCCACTCGCGCCGCTCTCAGGCACTGCTGCGGGAGATGCAAGCCCAAGGCCTATTCGCCTCCCCACCACAAGCACGGAGCTCGCCCCCGGGGAAGCTGGCCTCCTGGCGAGCAAGGAAAGGTGCAAGCTGCAAGGCCCAGTTCCAGGCACGGCTCACCCTCTGGGCCCTGAGGCTGCCATGCAGAAACTGACATCAGGTCCCGGAAGAGCCTCCCTCAGATCGCCCCTGCCCCTTCCTCAGGGACCTCCTTCTTGCGCGATATCCACAAGCTGGGGCCAGAAACGTTGCTGAACTGCACGACTGCCTTAGCCTCCGACAGGCAGGAGCGTCACGCTGCTCCTGCGGCCCTGAAGCCTCTGTGGCAGCGAGGAGAGAGGGCGGAGGAAAGGGAAGCCACCACAGCTTCTCCAAAGAGATCCCAGCGCCAACCGGAATGCTTCAGGATGCCCTGGGACAGGCAAGAGCCATGGAGAGGATGGCGGGGGGCGGGGGGGAGAGACAAGGGACTGTGAGGCGCACCAAGGGGACCTCTCCAAGCTGGGAGGTTGGGCATCAAGGTGGCGGATGGGGTCAAATGGCAGCGAACGTGACGAAATGCACGCTGGGCAACAGCCCCGGCTTCAAGTGTCAGTTGACGGGATCTGACCTAGCGGTGGCTGAGCAGAGAGAGGATCTTGGAACAGGAATCAGAACTGCCCAGATATTGCTGCCTTTGTACAACGGCACTTGAAATACTATGCCCCCTTCCCTGAAAGAGGGCACTACTGAGTTGGTACAGGGTGGGCAAGGAAAATGATCACGGGGCCTGAGCGACTACAGCAACTGGGACTCTTCGGGTTTTTTAAAGGCAAGTAAAAGGAGGCATGACAGAGACGTTTAAAATGATGCATGCACGTGTGGGGCAAGTGGGGGGAGCTTTTCCTCCAGCGGGCTGCAGAAGGTGAGGAGCGGCCAAGGCACACGTGAAGCGCCCTGCGCTCCCCCACTCCTGCACGCCAGTTTGAGCAGCCTCTTGGTGAGAGGCCCTTGCAGAGAGGAAAGCTGGAACCTTTCTCCCCTCAACCGTGCCCTCCGGCTTTTCCCAGGAAGCTTGGGAAGGCTACACTGCATCCGTCCTCAAAACCTTTCCCGGGAGCGAAACCTCCAGTTGAGCCATTGCTGCATCCCATTGAAATTCCAAGGGCGGCCATAAAGAAGGAAGTGAACACACAACATCCTCGAGCACTAATCTTGCCTGCCAGCCAGCACATTTCCTGAATGTCAATCAGCAGTTCAGAGTTATTTTTAGTGCCCTTAGTGGACCGCTATGAAAATGCTCACCCTTTTACGCAAACCCCACAACCAAAAGATCCAGAGGAGGAGATAAAACTCTCAGGAACGGAAGGTGAAAAATTTTGGGCATATGTCCCAGTGCCACACACAGGTAAAAACAGCTGCTGACTGCTCGGAGGCGGCTCAACAGGCAGCGCCTCAAGTGCGGGGGGCGTCCTCCCACGCGGAGATGAGTCGAGAGAGTGGGAGCTTCACGGAGACTCGTCCATCTTCCCCGGAGCCTCTGAGAGCCAAAGCTCCACCACCTGCCCTCTGTGCCAGGCAAGAGACGAGCTCGCAAATGACTGGCAGCCACAGCGGAGGGCGCCCGGCACACCTGGTCCTGGGCTCACAAGCAAGCCGCATCGCCTTCAGGAAGGGGCACGAGAACGCTCCCGAGGAAGCCGGCCCGGGGAGATAGCACCACACACCAGGAAAGCTTTCTGCGGGTCCCACACACCGGAAGGGCAATGCTGAGCTAGCTGCCTGCCTGCCGCCCAGCCATTCTACCTAGAGCCTCTTCAGCTCTCTTTTCAAGACACACCTAGGAGAAACGGTGCGGTGACTAGATACCAGAAAAAGGCAAACTCCTTTTAAATGCAGCTATCAGAACCAGTGCGAGTCCAGCCTGCGCGTGGCAACCCGGGAGCAGTGACCAAATGCTATCAACTCAAAGGAAAGAATGAACGAGGGCAAGGGAGGGATGCATCCCAAGAGAGAACAGCAGGCACCAGAACAATTGGAGTACCCGCACACTCGGCCTATCAGCCCACATCCCACTATAGCAGCTCGGTACTCCGACAGACGTGCTCCTCCCAGGGATCTCAGGGAAGACATCTTCACCACCTCACAGCTTGGTGCTAATTTGCCACCCTGTGAAGAGCATTTCCCACTCCACCAGACAAGCCAAGCAGAGCTTCTTGCAGGACGGGCTGAGTGCAACATGAGAAGGAAACGCTGGGGAGAATGACCACCACCTGCACACACTTTCCCCACGCAAAACCTCCATGCTCCCTCACTGGAGATCCCTCTGGCAGAGCGGCAGTGCTCACAAGGGTATGGTGCGGGGGGAGAGGACACCAAGGAGTGCGCCCGGCCCTCCCCTCACTCAGCCAGTCACCAGGCAGGGCTAGATCACTCTTGCCAGAGGTCTGAGCGAGTCCCTTGCAGAGATCTGTGAAACCAGATCACAGTCCGCAGGTCACCTGTTCCTGGCCTGGCTGCCAGCTCCATTTCCAAAAACAGCTGGGCGCCGGCAGGGCATGTGGTCAACTTTTGTCCCACTGCTACGCCCGCTACGCACACCTGTCATGCAGGTGCCAACCTGCGAAGGAGGCGACAAAGCAACGCAGCGGGGTGAAGGCGCTCGCTCAGCCGCAGAGGTCACCGGGCAGCCCCGCCAGCTGCCCGCCTCGCTCGCACTGACCTTGCGGGGCTGTCGGCCTGGCAAAGGCGCAGCTCCCCAGCGCGGCTGCCTCCGAGGGAGCGCGATGCGGGCGGGCCCGCCCCTTCCGCAGGGCGACCGGCGCCGCCTGAGCGGAGCGCGCCCCGCAGCCTGCCGCCGCGGCGCCGGGCTCTCTTCCGGGGCCGCCTCCGCCGCAGCCGGCCGCTGCCCTTCCTCGCACGGCGACTCAAGCCAGGCCGAGCCTCGGCGGGGAGCGGGGCCAGGGGCGGCCCGCCGCCTCTTCCGCCTGCGGCTCCCGGCATGGCCCGCCGCCGGCTCCGCTAACAGGACTGACGGGCGAGAGGGCGACGGCACCGGGCAGCACGAAGCACGCCGGGCCCACCCGGAGGCACCGGCCGGGCGAGCGCAGGCGCCGCGTGGCGGGATCCCGGCAGGCGGCAGGTCCGCGCTCGGGCGCCGGGGAGAGGCCTGGCTCGCGGCCCGTCCGACCGAGGCCGCGCTGATGCCGTCGCCGCCGGCCCGCTCCCCGGGACAGCGCGGCCGAGCCCCACGAGCCGCCTCTCCCAC